CGGTCCGACATGACCTCGTAAACTGTCTTCTACAACGGTCCGATATGACCCCATAAACTGTCTTCTACAACGGTCCGATATGACCCCATAAACTGTCTTCTACAACGGTCCGATATGACCCCATAAACTGTCTTCTACAACGGTCCGATATGACCCCATAAACTGTCTTCTACAACGGTCCGATATGACCCCATAAACTGTCTTCTACAACGGTCCGATATGACCCCATAAACTGTCTTCTACAACGGTCCGATATGACCCCATAAACTGTCTTCTACAACGGTCCGATATGACCCCATAAACTGTCTTCTACAACGGTCCGATATGACCCCATAAACTGTCTTCTACAACGGTCCGATATGACCCCATAAACTGTCTTCTACAACGGTCCGATATGACCCCATAAACTGTCTTCTACAACGGTCCGATATGACCCCATAAACTGTCTTCTACAACGGTCCGATATGACCCCATAAACTGTCTTCTACAACGGTCCGATATGACCCCATAAACTGTCTTCTACAACGGTCCGATATGACCCCATAAACTGTCTTCTACAACGGTCCGATATGACCCCATAAACTGTCTTCTACAACGGTCCGATATGACCCCATAAACTGTCTTCTACAACGGTCCGATATGACCCCATAAACTGTCTTCTACAACGGTCCGATATGACCCCATAAACTGTCTTCTACAACGGTCCGATATGACCCCATAAACTGTCTTCTACAACGGTCCGATATGACCCCATAAACTGTCTTCTACAACGGTCCGATATGACCCCATAAACTGTCTTCTACAACGGTCCGATATGACCCCATAAACTGTCTTCTACAACGGTCCGATATGACCCCATAAACTGTCTTCTACAACGGTCCGATATGACCCCATAAACTGTCTTCTACAACGGTCCGATATGACCCCATAAACTGTCTTCTACAACGGTCCGATATGACCCCATAAACTGTCTTCTACAACGGTCCGATATGACCCCATAAACTGTCTTCTACAACGGTCCGATATGACCCCATAAACTGTCTTCTACAACGGTCCGATATGACCCCATAAACTGTCTTCTACAACGGTCCGATATGACCCCATAAACTGTCTTCTACAACGGTCCGATATGACCCCATAAACTGTCTTCTACAACGGTCCGATATGACCCCATAAACTGTCTTCTACAACGGTCCGATATGACCCCATAAACTGTCTTCTACAACGGTCCGACATGACCCCGTAAACTGTCTTCTACAACGGTCCGACATGACCCCGTAAACTGTCTGCTACAACGGTCCGACACGACCATACAGTGTCTCCTATCCCATTTTTAATTGTCAGCTTATTTTTCTGTTTTGTTACTCTCTTCAAACTTAAGTTGGTTAGTTCCTATCCTCCTTGAGTTTGAGGGGGGCTGTTAATGTACACTAAACCTAACCCACTAACCTAACCCACTACATCCACCCCACTAAACCTAACACACTTACCATCTCCACTACCACCCACCACCTCCACTACCATCCACTACCACCACTCACTTACCTCACACCTCTCCTATATAATAGCTTGTAACATACAGATCAATACACAACAATCTTGTAATACAATCAATCAATAATACAATTCTCTTTATACATTGAATTTCATCACATATTAAATAAAAGATAGAGATTTTTATCATTTTGTTTCCTCAGTGGACTGATAAATGAGTTCGTTTATGGATCCATATGCACTGAAGTCTGTTTCAAATTTATCTGCTTCAGATTTACCTGCTTCTTTCCATTTAATTTTTGGTTTCAGGTAATTTTAAGTTCATATTGGAATTTGATGGTTGACCATTTTCTATAGAAAAGTTATACTTGAAAAAAACCATTTTCCTTATTTATATGAGAGATTGAGATTTCAGATGTGTTATTGGTTTGGACCAAAATATTCAACGAAGCAAAATTAGTTCATAAAACATTTGAAGAAATTACAACTTTTTTCTCTAACTGCTTGCATGTGATCAGTACAGAAAATTACACTTTTTTCTCTAACATCATGATGTGGGCATCCTTTGGCATCTTTTTGCTTCATATTTTTCCCTACATTGATTTTCAATTATTAACTGGTCTTGTTAAGTTTTATAAACATGCAACAACTGAGATGGATGCATGCTAATTTTATGCAATAATTTTTGCTTTCTTTGATTTGTCTATCTAAATGTTCATAACATCAACAATGTACGATCCTAAATGCGATTTAGGGAATTGACCCACAATAACTAAAATATTGTTCTTTTGCTATACACGGTGTAATTGGTATTGTTTTTGCATTTGTATTTTTTATACAAGTACTTTAACCCGCTGCAAAGTGAATGCTTTTCTGCATGTTTCCTATCCCATGTAAATATGGTCATTTCAGCACCAACAGGAAGTGGCAAAACAAGACTTTTTGAGCTTTGCATTTTGAGGCTGCTCTCAAGGTTCATCTTTGTAGAAGGAAGATTTATTCACTTAAAAGGAACACTCAAAACAGTCGGCTTTCTACGATTTTGTATATGGAAAAATTTTAGATATTTATTTGAACACTGAAAAGTTCAGAAGGTAATTGATTTCACGCCACCAAGACACCCACAGATACTCTTTGTTTCATTGACTTTGTATTGTTGATGACTGGGGGGACTTGTTCCTGGAGCATGGTTTAGTACGCTGCCTATCCTTTCTGCAGAAGTTTGATGCAGTGACTTGGTATCACATTAAAGATGGTGGCTTGAGTTTTTCAATTATATAGCACTAGTGATTTACAATAATTACGTCTTCACATCAAGTTGGATTTATTTGAAATAATCAAATATTTCATGCATGTGAAGTTTTGATCCATATCCTCAATTGTATTCTGAAATGTTTTTTTCTTGCCATAAAGAAAGAGATATATTTGTGTATGTAGTTTTTGTCCACAACAGGGAATTAAAACATTACCTAGGCAATTAGAAATTAAAATTAATGGAGTATTTCTTTCAAATAAGTCAATAGTTGTTTGGATATTTAAGGTGACGGACAAGGATACACATACATATATTGCATATAATTATTGTTATTTATTTCATATCTCGTAATAAAAGTATACTACGTTTATCTGTTGCTCTATACATAATCTTAGATATATGTTTCAATTATCTACATCAATAATGTCGTGACCCCCACACGCAAAGGTCCTGTGGAGGCAAGAGACCATTTTGACTTGTAACTGGACTTGAATGCTTATTGGTAATGCTCGGTTTTCATTCTTTTGCCGAAAGTGATATGCGCTGGAAGTAATTGCAAAAGATAATGCAGCATCAGTAAAGTTCCTCAACAAATTTGGTTTAAGTTGTGTTTCTTCTGCTGTGAATTAGGTGTGATGTTGTTTGAGGTTGAAAATCAATTACAGATGGTAAACAATTGAAATGGTATGCATTGCTACTTACGGATAATCTTAAAAGGCATAAAATTGGGGTTTAGAAATGGATTCTTTCCTAATACTTGGTTTTTTTAATGTATGGAAGAAATGAAATTTGTCAAGAATAGGCTGCATTAGGCATTCTCTTGATGCTTGATTTGTTCTTCAATGTATGTGTGGTAATGAAAATTGTTTGAGGGCCCAAAATCAGTGGCTCGAATTTGGCTCGAAACTCAGAATGACGTTGTTTTGGGTTTCAATTTTTTTTTTTTTCTTTTTCTTCCTTTTCTTGCTTTTTTTTTTTCTTTTTCTTCCTTCTTCTGTTACAGAGGCGAGGCGAGAGAGAGAAAGGAGAGGAGAGAAAAGAGGGAGAGAGAGAGAGAGAGAGAGAGAAACCTTCGATCGGTGGAGGGAAGCCGTGGAACTGATGGTGGTGATCGTCACCGATCGATTGCCGGTGGGTATCGTCGCTGATCGCCACTTTCTCTATTTTCTGTTTTTTTTTTTTTTCTTCTAGTGGATCTGGATGTGTTGATGATCTGGATTTGGGTTTGATTTTGGTTTAATTTTTGATTTTTGATTTTGGTTTGATCTCTCTCTCTCTGCTCCACTCATTTTTGTGTGATGATGTTGATGAAGGTGGTGTTGTTGATGATTTGGATTTGGGTTTGATTTTGGATTTTGGATTTTGGATTTTGGTTTAATCTCTCTCTCTCTGGTTTTGCTGGGTTTGTTGATTTTTTTTTTTTTTTTGATTTTTTGTTTTTGATTTTGATTCAATAACTCTCTCAATTGAAAGTTGAAAACGGAAGGAAGAAGGGAAGGGAAGGAAGAAGGCAGGGGATGAAGAAGAAAAGGAAAAAAAAAAAAAAATTCAAATTCAAATTCTTCTTCTTCCTCTTCTCTTTTTTTCTTCTTCTTCTTCTCTTGTTCTTCTTCTTCCAGCGAGAAAGAAAAAAAAAAATTTGAAACCCAAAATGACGTCGTTTTGGGTTTCGAGCCAAATTCGAGCATGAATAAATCGGGCTCTGTAACGAGACTGTGTAGCAATTCATATAATATTGAATTTTCGCCAATAAATAATGTATTCTTGCATTTGTTGGATTAGTTATGACATGAGGGGAACATAGTCATGCACTACAAGAAATGTCACTTTTAGCTACCAAAATATTGGTCGCCTGTGTTTGGTAACGTTTACGTTTTCAGTTTATATTTACAAAAATTTTATAAACTGGTTTTTATTTATTTTTAGAAAAATATAAACTACAAACGCGTTTGGTAATTGACAAAATGCTTAAAAAAATTTAAAAATATAAAAAAGAGTGAGAAATGACAAGTGGTGGCGGAAAATGGTAGTGGGAAGTGGTGATGGTAGGTGGTGGGTAGCGGGTGGTGGTGGGTGGTGGTAGTGATGGGTGGGTGGGTGATGGTGACGAGTGGTGGGTGGTAGTGGTGGTGGTGGTGGCGGCGGGTGGTGGGCGATGGTGGCAGGTGGGTGGCGGAATGGCGGGTAGTGGTAGGTGGTGGCGGCGGGTGGTGGTAGGTGGGGGGGTGGGTGACGGTGGTGGTGGTGGGTGGGTGGGTGGATGACGGTGGCAGGTGGTAGTGAGTGGGCGGTGGTGGTGGTAGTGGCGGGGGAGGGGGGGGGGGGGGGGGGGGGGGGGGGGGTGGGGGGGGGGGGGGGGGGG